AGAGAGAGAGAGAGAGAGAGAGAGAGAGAGAGTAGAAATGAAAAAATTAAAAAGCTTTTTGTTTTGCATAATCAGTTGTTAGTTTGCATACAGCATATAGAATAGCATTCATATTTAATAGTCTAGAAAGGAAGAAGAATTTAATAAAATTGTATAAATATTTATAAGAAAACTTGTACAACAGTCACAATGGGAACAGATTTAATTGGCCACAAAAATAGTTTTCATTTAAATTAAATGTATTTGCTCTTTAGAATATTTAATCATTGTGCATATGACATACATTTAAGAAACTATTTCTTAGCAAAGAATGAATTCTGTCGAAAAATTTCCTTTCATCATATATTATATTTATAATGTTCTTTTTATGGACTAAACTTATTAAGAGTGCGATTTACGAGTCACACTTTTGAATGTGTCGTTGTCGCAAAGTGTTCACGTGGTATAACGATAATTGAATTCTATTTACGACTACCCTTAAGCCTTTCTGCTTATGTTGGCCTATGTAATTCAGACGAGATGTTATAGTAGCATGAAATTGATGTTTTCATTTTCAGATGTGCAGAGTGATACCGCAGAGAGCGAATTGACCGCTTTCTTAGTTTCTTTGTTTTTTTATACATCAGTTATTCAAAAAGACCGATTGCACTGATTGAGGCCCCTTGAATTAAGTCCATTTTAAATAAATAAAAAAAAAAAAAAAAAAAAAAAATCCAATAAATATACTGCCTGCCCTGCTATGTGTATGCGATAAATTGTTTTCATCTATGTCTGTCGACTGTTTAACACGAAATATTTTTAGAGCAAAAATTCATGCCATATTGATGCGTATCTTCGAAAGAGTCAAGTAAACTAGCGTTTAGTTACGTTCAAAGTTCTAATACAAAGCCTAAATTTATTGCGTACGCTTGCCTGCTTTTAACAAATGTATTCTTTAATGGTAATGGTCGTCGTCGTTGTTTTTAAAAAGTAAAAATCGAGCTTCCGATTAATCTTTTTGCTTTTATGATTTTGGTTTTTTTGTTCTTTTTCTTTTTTTTTTTTTTTTCTTTTTTTGATAGCTCGTCAATCGATTTGTTCTTATTTTGTAAAAACAAAACTTTTTCGTTGATATAAAAACGCATTGTGAAGTTGAATCGATCATATTACAAATCGTCCATAAGTGTGTGCGTGTGCATAAATTAATATAAAACGGGTCACATTCCTTCGAAAGTGTATTCTTTTATTTATGTATGTTATTGTGTTATACTTATTAAATCAAATTTTCATGAATCTAGCGAATGCACGCAAAGCTGAACACAAACAATTTATTTAACAAAAAAGCTAATGGATCATCTTTAATATCATATTATTTACATTTTAATGGGTAATAATCATGAGTGTTTGCTATTATAACAGAATATTTCGCTCAAGGCTAATAATTTGCATACTGGGACAAGAAGAAAAACAAATTTAACCTCTGTTTCGAAAATAACGACGTAAATAACACTTTAATGACATGGTGTGTTCGTACAACTCATATACCTTTCACGATATATATATATATGTGTATATGTAAAAGCATATTAACGAACTTTAGCCTTATAATACACCGAAAAGTATGTGCTTAACATATAAAAACTTTTCATTTTTTTCTCATTTTTATTGCAAACTGACACCTTTACGCATGACGACAAATGAAAACTAAACATACTTAGCTATTGAAACGCTTTATATGGTTTAAAAGTAGAATTTCGGATACATAAGGATTCGCGTATCGTTCATACATTCAAACCGTCTAATTGAAAAATATTTTCATTATTTTATTTTTGTTTTTGTTATTCCGAAAATTTAATTTCAATTCGTTTTGATATTCGACTTGAACTATCGAAACACATACAATACAATATTTTCTTCTAGTTATCCGATGCAAATTCTTCGATTTTAAGCCTCTCTCAGTAGCTAAGGAATTGATATCGATTAAGAAGTGTCCTGTCCTTACTCATTGAAGAATAAAATTAAATGTAGTTTTTTACTTCCATGCTACTTACAGGTATCACTAAATGTGAAAACTATCCTCGAATTTGGGATACACACGATTTATGCTTAAAGCGAATATATATCGTAAAGTATCGGTTGCAAGTTGTATACATAAATACATATACAAATGCAAAAAATGCATTTCATTTTTCTTGTATTAGCCAACTACTTGAGGCTACTTGCTAAATTAGTCATTGATATATAGGCTATGGACGCTTTGGAAATACTTCTTCTTTTTAAAAATATTTCACTTTTTTCTCCTACAATGGGGGATGTTGTAGATCAATTAATGCCGATCTAATAACTACCATAGATCTATTGCCTCGTTCGTAACGCGCGAAAAACTACGCAATGCAACTTCATAACGCATATATAGTCTCTTTAAGGTTAACGTGTTGAATCAATTTAATTCTGCATGCCTGTGTGGATGACTTTGTCAGGCGCGTCTGTTGCCTGTCTGTTTTTCTCAACGCACATTTAACAAAAACATTTATAACGTATTAGTTTAGGGTAATAGGTAATCTCTCAAACCAAAAAATATAATGTTCTTTTTCTTCTTCTTCGTCTTTTTTTCCTTTTTGCTGATTTAATGCAGACAGTGTAATTTCATCAAGATTAGATTACGAGCATTGTGGTAATGCTCAAGTTAAATCTTCACTTTTGCGACTATAGGAAAACTAATAAATGTTAAGAAAAGAGCTGTTAAAAAAAAAAAAAAAAAAGGAAAGGGCAACGAATAAATCGATATAGAATTTTATAATGAAATGCAGTTCAAGATCTGTGCGTAACAAAAGAAATCATAAAACGAATATGCCATCAACTTCTGAGATGAACTATACAAGCCCAGAATTACAGAACACCTTTTAGTTCACAAACAAACAACATTTCTCCTTACACTTACCTCTATAAGCATGTGCTTGTTTTTCTGTACGCATTTCACGTTTACGTTCACA